ATATATTATAGATTTGATATTCACAAATAGGGAGAAACTGGTTGAGAATTTGAAAGTGGAAGACAGTTTGGGTGAAAGTGATCATGAACTCATAGAGTTCATGATTCTAAGGAATGGTAGAAGAAAGAACAGCAAAACAGAGACATTGGATTTCAGGAAAGCAGTTTAGTAAACTCAAGAGAGCTGGTAGGTAAAGTCCCATGCAATATAGATTTGATATTCACAAATAGGGAGAAACTGGTTGAGAATTTGAAAGTGGAAGACAGTTTGGGTGAAAGTGATCATGAACTCATAGAGTTCATGATTCTAAGGAATGGTAGAAGAAAGAACAGCAAAACAGAGACATTGGATTTCAGGAAAGCAGTTTAGTAAACTCAAGAGAGCTGGTAGGTAAAGTCCCATGCAAAGCAAGACTAAGAGGGAAAACAATTGAAGAGAGTTGGAGGTTTTTTGAAAAATACATTATTAAGGGCCCAAAAGCACAGGAAAGATAGAAAGTATGGCAAGAGACCACCTTCCTTTAACCAGGAGATTTTACATTATCTTAAAATAAAAAATGAGTCATATAAAAAGTAGAAAGTAGGTCAAATTAAAAGGGATGAATATAAGCAAATAACACAAGTATGCAGGTGCAACATTGGAAAAGTGGAAACAGAGAATGAGCTCAATCTAGCTAGAGAAATAAATGGTAACAAGAAGAAATTCTACAACTATATCAGAAGCAAGAGAAAGACCAAGGACAGGGTAGGCTCATTGCTCAGTGAAGAGGGAGAAACAATAACGGCAAACTTGGAAATGGCAGAAGTGCTTAATGAATTCTTTGTTTTGGTCTTCGCCAAGAAGATGGATGGTGACAGGGTGCCAAACATAGTGAGTGCTAGTGAAAATGGGATACGTTTAGAAGTTAAAATAAAAAAAACAGTTATGAATTACTTAGAAAAATTAAATGTCTGCAGTTCACCAGGGCCTGATGAAATGCATCCTACAATACTCAAGGAGCTGATAGGGGAGGTATCTGAGCCTTTAGCTATCATCTTTGAAAAATCATGGAAGTCGGGAGAAATTCCAGACCCCTGGAAAAGGGCAAATATAGTGCCCACCTATAAAAAGGGAAATAAGAACAACCCAGGAACCTATAGACCAGTCAGTTTTTGTGCCAGGGAAGATAATGGAGCAAGTAATTAAGGGATTCTTCCACAAACATCTGGAAGATAATAAGGTGATAGGTAACAGTCAGCATGGATTTGTAAAGAACAAATCGTGTCAAACCAATCTGATAGCTTGGTTTGATAGGATAACAAGTCTTGTGGATATGGAGAAGCGGTGGATGTGGTATACCTAGACTTTAGTAAAGCGTTTGTTAAGGTCTCGCATGACCTTCTTTTAAATAAACAAAGGAAATACAACCTATATGGGGTTACTGTAAGGTGAGTGCATAACTGGTTGGATAACCATTGTCAGAGAGTAGTTATTAATGGTTCTCAGTCATGCTGGAAGGGTAAAACAAGTGGGGTTCCACAGGGGTCTGTTTTGGGACTGGTTCTGTTCAATATCTTCATCAGTGATTTAGATATTGGTGGAGAGAGCACACTTATTGCGTTTGTGGATGATCTCAAGATGGGAGGAATTGCAAGTGCTTTGGAGGATAGGGTCATAACTAACAATGAGCTGGAGAAACTGGTCTAAGGTAAATAGGATGAAGTTTAATAAGGACAAATGCAAAGTGCTCCACTTAGGAAGGAACAATCCATTTCACACATACAGAATGGGAAGTCGAATATCAGAGGGGTAGTCGTGTTAGTTTGAATCTGCAAAAGCAGCAAGGAGTCCTGTGGCACCTTATAGACTAACCGCAGTGTTGGAGCATAAGCTTTCATTGGCAAAGACCCACTGCGTCAGATGCATGTCTGGGAAAAGACAGCTATTGACTTTAGAAGGGTGAACACTATAACTGTGCAAAGCTTTTATTTGAACAATATGTCAGGTATTGGTAAGGTATATATTTGACACTTTAGGATTCTTGAAATGATCATAAGAGGGGTCAGAAAAGGAGATCCCAACAATGTTGCAAAAATAAACAAACATGATTCTGGGATGCATTAACTGGTGTGTTGTGAGCAAGACACTGGAAGTCATTCTTCTGCTCTCTTCTGCAATTATTAGACCTCAGCTGAAGTATTGTGTCCAGTTCTGGGAACTACATTTCAAGGATGATGTGGAGAAATTGGAGAGGGTCCAGAGAGAACAAAAAAAAAAGAATAAAGATCTAGAAAAAATGAGCTATGAGGGAAGGCTGAAGAAATAGGGCTCGTTTAGTTTGGAAAAGAGAAGATTGAGAGGGGACATAGACTCATAGACTTTAAGGTCAGAAGGGACCATTATGATCATCTAGTCTGACCCCCTGCACAGTGCAGGCCACAGAATCTCACCCACCCCCTCCTAGAATAATCCTCTCACCTATATCTCAGATACTGAAGCCTTCAAATACTTTGAAGACCCCAAGATGCAGAGAATCCTCCAGCTGTGATCTGTACCCCATGCTACAGAGGAAGGCAAAAAACCTCCAGGGTCTCTGCCAATCTAAATAAAAAACTGCAGTTTTCAGGTATCTAACGGGGTGTCAGAGTAAAGGGGGTAAAATTGTTTTCCTTGGCCTATGATCATAGGACAAGAAACAATGGGCATAAACTGCAGCAAGGGAGGTTTAGGTTGGACATTAGGAAAAACTTCCTAACTGTCAGGGTGGTCAAACACTGGAATAAGTTGCCTAGGGAGGTTGTGGAATCTCCATCACTGAAGATATTTATGAGCAGTTTAGACAGACATCTATCAGGAATGATCCAGAAGATGCTCAGTCCTGTCGTGGGGGTAGGGGACTGGACTCAATGACCTCTCAAGGTCCCTTCCAGTTCTAGTGTTCTATGATTCTATGACACTTCACAAGATACAAGGAAACACAGATACATACCTCAGCTGGGTGGGAGAGGCATCACAAATAGCTCAATAGTTCAGAGTCTGTGTTTGACCTCATATCCAGCTGAGTGTTGTAGTTACCCAGCTTGTTCTGCCAGCGCTGGGAGTTTGGCCACAGGTAGGGCAGCTCTTGCTACAGTCTCTGCAGATGCTGCTGACAGAGTCTGAAGTCCTTGGTCGGCTTGGATCCCTCACAGTAGGAGGGCTTGTGGTCAGATACATGAGAACGCAGTTTTTTATTTTAAACTAGGGGTGTTGATTCATCACAGTTAATTCACATGGTTAAGTCAAAAGAATTAATTGTGATTAAAAAATCAATCAGGATTAATCAGAGTTTGAATCGCACTGTTAAACAATAATAAATTATCAACTGAAATTTAGCAAATATTTTGGGATGTTTTTCCTCATTTTCAAATATATCGATTTCCATTACAACAGAGAATACAAAGTGTGTGGGGCTTTTTTCACATTACTTTTAGTACAGATATTACAAATATTCTATAAAAAGACAAACAAAAGAAATAGTATTTTCACTCCACCTCCTGCATGGACTGTGGTGCAATCGCTTTCTCTTGGAAGTACGATTTACAATTTTAGATTATTTTTGTTACGTAACTGCACTGAAAAAACAAATCCTGTGATACTCAGAGGAAAGAGAGGTGGCAGAAACGCTAATACACTTGTAACTCTGAGCCCTCAGCCAGTGGAGGAACAGAAATGCGCCGTATTGGACCTATTACCACAGAGCAAGGCAGCTCTGAATTCGGGACATCACAATGGAGCCAGAGAATAAAACATTTTCAAATGCAGTTACTGATTACATTTCCA